AGTTCAAACTTATGAACAAGCTTGGACATTTCTCCTTCCTTAGGCTTTTAATATTGATATCTCGATCTGTGAAGATCTTGCCTACAGACTGCTCTCACCCATGCAGAAACTTACCCAAAAAAAAAATAATCAAAGTGCATCTAAAATTGATTTAAGATTTATATGTGACGAAAATTTTGAACTGGGTTATTTATTTTTCTTAATGTAGGTGCAGGATATTATTAATGTCTGATCAAAGTCTCCTCTTCCCGGCTGACCGGCTGTGACTCATATGTCCAGACGACGACTATCGATTCCTAACTTTTGCATTCATAATTTTTGAAACGATCCCCTAAATGAAGTAAAAGCTCTCTTATTTTAAGGGATGAATGAGATTTTTCCCCCTATTTTTGAGCCTATCTTGCTAGTTCAAACTTATGAACAAGCTTGGACATTTCTCCTTCCTTAGGCTTTTAATATTGATATCTCGATCTGTGAAGATCTTGCCTCCAGACTGCTCTCACCCATGCAGAAACTTACCCAAAAAAAAAATAATAATATAATAATAAATAAATAAAAATAAATGCAGCCTGTATCTATTCACATGAAAAACTCGTGAATTTAAATATACAGAACATAGAGGGGGGTTTGAAGTACTCAAATTGGAGCCTTTCAGATACATTTCTAATTATCATCTGTCCATCCAGATATACGTCACCTCTCTTCCAAAAAATATATAAATAAATCATGAAGAAATAGCTTCCCAGAAAAAAATGACTAAATAAATAAATATCTTACCGTCTCCTCAATTTGAATTGATCCATAGTAGCTTTCGAGGAACTTGCTGAATTCTGGATCCTGAAATTATGAAGTTTCTATAAGAAAATAATGATGAATGAATTGCGGATACTAGGCATATACACGGACTACTCAATTTCATGTTATTCCTTTATGGTTTAAATTGATAATACACTTACTGAAGAAAGTTCTGGCAAAAGCGATTAAAAAAGGAGAAAAGAAATTGAAATATGAAAAAAGAGAATCCATCAGTTTTCATGATATTTATACCTATGCCTGGGGGTTTTAAATAGGGGGAAAGAAAAGACAATAAACCGCAACCAATTAAACACATGCAGCTAGTAAGGCAAAAGAAATACTTCTTGTCTCTCCATTTTGTAACTAACTTATAAGTCCCCACCAAACATGCTTATTTGATGAATTGACCACAAAAATAGTGAAATAAATACCAAGACAAGTCAAAGTTATAAAATCAAGCTTAGGATTACATGCAGCTTCAGAATATTCAATTGATCTTGACACTGAAATAATTTCAATCTGTCTAGATTCATAAAATTACTGAAGTTCCCGTCTTGATAAAATCCTTAGTTTGACTATGTTATATTCATACTCTATGCTAAGATTTACAATCTTTAGTTCTATGTCCATCTAGCACATAGCCAACAGCCCAATTTCAAAAAGAACTCATTATTATGATAAGAGAGAAAAAAAAAAACCGCAAAAGAAAACCTTATGTACTATATAAGCCAAATAAGTCAATGCCTGCCTGCTTAGTTCTAACTAACCTGTGAAGAGATGCACATTGCCTAGAGCCTAGTGTATAGGATAGGGTAACCACAGAAAGAATAAAAATACCAAGACAAGTCAAAGTTATAAAATCAAGCTTAGGATTACATGCAGCTTCAGAATATTCAATTGATCTTGACACTGAAATAATTTCAATCTGTCTAGATTCATAAAATTACTGAAGTTCCCGTCTTGATAAAATCCTTAGTTTGACTATGTTATATTCATACTCTATGCTAAGATTTACAATCTTTAGTTCTATGTCCATCTAGCACATAGCCAACAGCCCAATTTCAAAAAGAACTCATTATTATGATAAGAGAGAAAAAAAAATAACCGCAAAAGAAAACCTTATGTACTATATAAGCCAAATAAGTCAATGCCTGCCTGCTTAGTTCTAACTAACCTGTGAAGAGATGCACATTGCCTAGAGCCTAGTGTATAGGATAGGGTAACCACAGAAAGCATAAAACAAACATCTTCATTAAAACTGTTAAAAAGAAAATAGGATCACATTTTATAGATGACTAAAAAGAAAACATATTCACCTATATACATTTTTATCTTTTCCATTCTTTAGACAAATACATGCTGACTATATCCAAGCATTTTTTACGTTAATCAGGCAGGCATAATGATGTAAAAAAATAAAATAAAATGATTTAGCAAAAGCAATAGATTTATCTCTATTATAAGTATCTCATAAAGAAAGATTTGTGATACCCAGTCTAAAGATGTCCTTATTAATGAATAAAAGAACTATTGTTTCATTCAAAAACAAGTTCTTTTCAGTGCACGTAGAACCAGATACATCTCATTGATTGTTGAATTCTGCAGAAGAGGGTGAGAATACTTGAATGTTAATGTTGCATTTAATCTCCTGTATTCCATCACACATTTATATATGCATATTGGAAAAAAAAGAAAAACTAGTTGGTACAAGAAAATATTCACCTATATACATTTTTATCTTTTCCATTCTTTAGACAAATACATGCTGACTATATCCAAGCATTTTTTACGTTAATCAGGCAGGCATAATGATGTAAAAAAATAAAATAAAATGATTTAGCAAAAGCAATAGATTTATCTCTATTATAAGTGTCTCATAAAGAAAGATTTGTGATACCCAGTCTAAAGATGTCCTTATTAATGAATAAAAGAACTATTGTTTCATTCAAAAACAAGTTCTTTTCAGTGCACGTAGAACCAGATACATCTCATTGATTGTTGAATTCTGCAGAAGAGGGTGAGGATACTTGAATGTTAATGTTGCATTTAATCTCCTGTATTCCATCACACATTTATATATGCATATTGGAAAAAAAAGAAAAACTAGTTGGTACAAGAAAAAGATAATTGCCATCTAGGTCAAACAGAGAAACACACAGCTAACACAGAGAAGCAAATGAGCATATTCTTATTATGTGTGAAATGTATTAGAAAGGAGAAAATGACCTTCTTTAGCCTATCCAATTTTTTCTTTTTCATGACCAGATCTGCATGAATATTCTTATTCAGTGCCACATAGGCACTACTGGCATTTTCTTCTGCATGTACAGTAACATATCCAATAAGTATGCTGATTCAACAACAATTATCATATTAAAGAAGTTGAAAGGATGCAAAAAGAAAGTATGGCAAATGGAAACAGTCTGCTTATAAAATTCTATTCAAGGATGGAACCTGACCTTCTATAATATTCTCAGTCTCATTTATTGCAACAGATGGAGAACTTGAGTCCTGATTAATGAATTACACAATCAATTACCAAAAAGAAAAAAAAAAAAAACCTCCATTTGGCAACCCATTTATTTGCATGAATATTCTTATTCAGTGCCACATAGGCACTACTGGCATTTTCTTCTGCATGTACAGTAACATATCCAATAAGTATGCTGATTCAACAACAATTATCATATTAAAGAAGTTGAAAGGATGCAAAAAGAAAGTATGGCAAATGGAAACAGTCTGCTTATAAAATTCTATTCAAGGATGGAACCTGACCTTCTATAATATTCTCAGTCTCATTTATTGCAACAGATGGAGAACTTGAGTCCTGATTAATGAATTACACAATCAATTACCAAAAAGAAAAAGAAAAAAAAACCTCCATTTGGCAACCCATTTATTAATGATATATAGACTTTCCAAATGGAAACCAAATTCTATACTAATACATACATAATGAATTATTAATAAATAGAAATTGGAGTTGCCAATTCAATGTAAGTCAAGCATAATAAAGTCTAAAACCTCTGAAAGGTAACCATCACTATCTGAACCATCTTCATCCTCATCCCTGTCATCTTCAGCAAACACAGCATCAATACAAGCATCTTCAACGTTATCTGTGACCGTGATTCTGACAAAAACATTGATATGGTTAAGATCCACATTGTACCAGCTATTACGCAATCCTTGGGTATTTTTTTAACTATGATAGTACTTCAGCAATTACTTTAATCATATCAATCAATCAGATAATGTAAATGTGGCTGATCAGACGAAAGAATAAAACAATCAATGCTACAGCATTAAAATACTTTATGCCAGGGGATTTTTAGAGATCTCTATCACTAAACATCAAAGTGACAATCATTTAAGCTATGAAGTTAAAATTTGAACAAAATAAATAATTTAAGAACCAAAAATGCCTGCAAGCACTTATATCATAGAGGTGGTATTTTCCACGATTCCTAAATATACTAATTTCTTAATGTTAATCACTAACATTGTAGCTTCTACAGTACTGCCTATATACATTTAGGAGTGATAAAACCAAAAAAGGAAAATGGTCATGAAAGTTTATAGCATGAGAGGTATGATGCTAAGAATAAAACAATCAATGCTACAGCATTAAAATACTTTATGCCAGGGGATTTTTAGAGATCTCTATCACTAAACATCAAAGTGACAATCATTTAAGCTATGAAGTTAAAATTTGAACAAAATAAATAATTTAAGAACCAAAAATGCCTGCAAGCACTATATCATAGAGGTGGTATTTTCCATGATTCCTAAATATACTAATTTCTTAATGTTAATCACTAACATTGTAGCTTCTACAGTACTGCCTATATACATTTAGGAGTGATAAAACCAAAAAAGGTAAATGGTCATGAAAGTTTATAGCATGAGAGGTATGATGCTCGGACTAGGGTATGAATATCAGGTACGGATACGTATCTAAATGTTAGAAATATAGGATATGAAGACATGATTAAAAAGAGTCCAAATTTTGAATTCGAGTATGTCTTTAAAACTTCAATTTTCTTTACTAACCCAAAATGTCATTTTAAATAGACCAATATCAATTATTCACGAATAAGGAAATGAGTATTGAATAAGGGGTTAGCACAAATAATAATTGAATTTTGGGGTTTAGTTTTCAATTATGAAAAGTTGATTACTAAATGTTAAATAAAATGGAAAACGAGGGAGGGACTTAATTGTAATTTGGACTTGGTGGAAGACTAAGTAGCGCTATATATAACTCATTTTCATTTTATAGAAAGAAAACCATAAACCATTGATATAAAGAGGGAAAAAAGAAGAAAATGGAAAGAAAAAGAAAGACGAAAAAAAAGGAAAAACCAAGTTCCGCCGCCTTCCTCCACACTCTCAACGGTGCTAGGCTTATAGAGAGCAGAAATGAGAAAGAAGAAAAGGAATGAAGTAGAAACAGCGAAATGCCGGATTAAAACTTGAAAGATCCGACACATATCCCATGCACATACCCATGTCTTATCGTTTCGACACGGGTATTTCGTCCATTTCGAAGAGTCTGAGCATCAAGGCATGAGACATATACATAAAATTCACCTTTTTTACCTTCCATTAGAAAGCCTTGAAACATTATCCTCTTGTTCCTCAACATCATTCTGCTCATCTTCTACAACAACCAAAAAAGAACAAAATCATAAAGATTAATAAAGAGTTACCTTTTATGAAGAAAATAACTTAAAATCAACTACTACAATAACACGTGAACATAAAGAAAACACTTTGCCAATCTCCATGATTTCTCCACTTCCATTTATTCATATTTAGTACATTCAGCAACCTTATATAGCCACTGTTTGAGCCCCACTTTTTAAAATCTCATTTTCCCCGAAACTCATTTTCAACCACACATTCTTCCAATAAAATAATATTACACATAAATCTAAAACTTTTCCTTACCTTTTAATCACACGTTCTCTAAAAAATCACTATTGCAAAATCTATTCTCTAAAAAATGGGGCTCAAACCCATTGTCAAAATAGAATATATCACCTGTTAAAAATGCGCCTTTTCTTGTTTCTTCTATCTATGTTAAAACAAAGTTAAATCATATTTGAGAAAAATGCCACCAATTAGTTCCTTTGTAACATCCAACATATTGTAAATTTATAAGCTAGCCTACAGACATTGTTGCAGCAAAAAGTGAGAGACAAAATAAATAAATAAAGATCTAATCCGCTCTTGGTGCACTCTACAGGATGGAAAACAGAAACTAAAGCTAATACATTTCCTTGCACGAGAGTTCTAAATTCAACTTTTTTTTCAACACTAACATATAAAAAGCACCAGCTGTGCATATCTTGCACTCAAATATAACAGATGCATGAAATGAGAGGATGCACAGGAAAACACATACAGAAGCAGAAAGAGAGAACGAGAATTAATACTTGAGAATTTTTTTTTGAATAAAGCCTTCGTTTTTCGCTTCCTTTTCAATACAGACTGAAGATTCTTCTTTGCAAACTTCCTCGCTTTCTTCCCTAATTTCCCCATTCTTTTACTCTTTTCTCTTCCAGATTATGCAATCTAACAAAAACCAAAAATTCGACTCAATTTCATCAAAAACTATAAAATACATTATGTAAAGCCGAATATGAATATTTACCAATTTATAATTATATAGCAGTTCTTTCTTTCTCTGCTACTGTTTTGAATTTTTCTTTTGTTTGTTCTTAATTAACTAATGGGACTGGTTGATTAGGTTTTTGGGCCAACCTGAAACATAACTAATCAATTCAGTTTAATTAATCATCACAATTCACATACTAAATCACCAACCAAATGATCAATACCATAAAGTTTCACTTCAAGAGTTCAAGTTCTAAATGAAAATGACATCGAAATGAACTAAAAAAATGAAGAAGCTCACAGTCACTGTATAATAGTCAACGACGGACACTCGATGAAGGCGATAGGCAGTGGAGAAGGCTCACCCACGGTTGGCTGGGACGAGGCAGGGATGCGAGAGGGAGATACAAGAGATAGGGTATTACGATTCAGGAGATGCTTTGTATTTGCAATTGCCGTATTAAGTGGCGGAATCCAATTAGGTTTTGGGCCAATACGTACATACAGAATAGTCCTCAGCAGCAGCCAACAGGCCTTTGGGAAATTGGGCTTAAGTGGAAAATAAATTTTAAAGAATCATTTTCAAAAATAAGATGTAATGTGATATCAATTCAAAAATACACGAGGCCTAATTTTAAAGAATCAATTTCAAAAGTAAGATGTAATGTGATATTAATTCAAATATTATAAATCAATACTTTAATGTTAATAATAATATTTCTCTCCTCTCCTCTCCTCTCCTCTTCATTCTCTCTTCACCACTCATCTCTCTACGCTCAAATCGTCACTGTCGGGATATCAATGCAGTAACCCGCCTTGATGTGAGCACATCTACTGTGATGACGAGTCACAACGTAGCGATGTGAAGCAGCATCGTGTCATTATAGTGCAATTATGATGCGAATGGTCTGTTGTTGATCTGCTATGGATTTGTGGATGGATTGTAATTGATCTACCGTGGTTATGGCGATGGTTGTGGTGGCTACGGTGGTGACAGTAGTTTTGGTATGATCGTGGCGATGGTTGTGATAATTTTTGCGTGGTGTGTGAGTGGTGGTGGCGAATTTGTGCGATTTTGGATTTGGCGGTTGTAGTACGATGATACGGGTGGTTTGATGGCGATGAGGCATTGGTTGGGGTTGTTGGAGTGGTGGTGATGGTAGCTTCCATATTTTGGCGGTGGCGAGGTGGTCGACGACGGTGGTCGTGGCAATGGTTACGGTGGTGATGGTGAGATGTTAATGGCGATAGGTCTGTCGAGTGGTGGTCAATCTAGCGCGACGATGTGGTGGTGTTTTCTGCAATGTGTTGATTTGTTTGAGGTGGTGGTATTGCTGTCGAGAGGTGGTGGTGGTTCTTCTAGTGAAAACGATGGTGGTTGTGCTACTGGAGGTAATGGTGAGATGGTGTTCGCAAGTATTGGTGGCGGTCACAAATTATTGGTTGACTGTGACCATTATATTAGTTAATTTGTGATATATAAACAATATGTGATCAATGAAAAAGATAAATTGTGACCAAGAAATAATGTGTGACCTAAAAATTATTAATTTATGACTGATAATTTGGACGGTATAATAAGTTGTGACTTATAAATTTGTGATTTGTGATTGATAAATAAATTCTTACCAATAAAATTTTTAAATTGTGATAGTAAAATAATTTGTGACATATGAAAATTCTAATTTGTGATAAAAAAATAATATGTGACTAATTAAATTGTATAGATCTGTGACCTTAATATATTAATTGATAAAATATATAATTAATTAATTAATTTTAATAAATATTTTATTTTTGAAATTTGAAATCTTTGTTTTTAGTTTTGAAATGGATGATATTTAATCTCTTAATTATGAAATTTTCTCATGTTTTAATATCCTAAAAAGGGAAAAAATAAATAAATAAATACCAAAACAAAATGCCCACTATTTTTTTTGAAAAAGGGCAAAACGTCTCTTCTCTTTCAAGGCTTCACGGGTGGCGATTGGCGAGCTGTTTCAACTAGCAACCTATAAATTCCAACTGGCTATACCATCTCGAGTGCTGGCTTTACCACTAATCGAATCCTACACCTTAAATTAGAGAGGACTTTTAAAAGTACTAGTATGTCCATGTGTTATTCGTGGTGGAGTTTTAATTAAATATTTAATAGTTTGTACCAAGTATCAATGTTTAGTATTCCAAACATCTTTTGATAAAATGTATATTAAGTAAGAAATGAAAAACGAAAGTTGTAGCGGAGATGAATATGTTGAGGTGAAAAGGTATAATGGTTAGGGTTGGACAAAATTCTCGAATCGAACTGAACGATTCATCTTAAGTTAAATACTCAAATGGGTACCGAAATCGAGAACTGGCGGTTTGGTTCGATTCTCAATTCTAGATCAAAAATCAAAGAATCGAATTTTCCTAATTTTTTTAATTAATTTATTTTAAATAAGCCAAATTATTAGTTTTTAAATAAAATTGCTAACTAGTTAATTTAGCCTAAACTCAAAAATATGATTTTCTTATTTCCAATTTTCAATTCAAAACCAACTTAATAAAATTGACCTAAGTTTTATCCAAATCTGTTACTCTACCATAGTGCCGTTTTCACCGTTCTGAAGAAATCGAATTGAAACTCAAAAACGTCTCTCTTAATTATTTTGAGCTCGCTATCTTCATTTTTCTGTGATTTTAACAATCAAATTTATGAAGAATTCAACAAAGAAATACACAAAAGATACATAAGATTGGATTATATTATTCTGTAAGAGCTAAAATTAAACATACATGAGTTGAATTAATTTAAATTTGTAGATATTAAAAAATTTAATTATAATACAGAACCAAAGAACCGAATGGAATAGACTAGAAAGGTTCCATAATTAAATTTGACCTGACAGCTCCATTTATTAAATTCCCAAAAATCTTTATCGAACCGGACCATGTCCGGCCCTAATAATGGTTGATTTTTTGTCATGAAAATATTCTATATATAATTGAGTGGGATAGGGAATGGTGGGACATGGTCCGATTCGGTTCTAGCAAGAACTGAACTAGACTCGAAATTTTCGGATATTTAGGAAGTGGAACAGTCGTGTCCAAATTTAATTATGAAACAGTTCGGACTCGATTCTATTTGGTTTAGTTCGGTTCCCATGTTCCGTATTTTAATTAAATTTTTTAATATTTAGAAAGTCACATTAATTCAACTAATGATATGTTCAATATTAACTCTTACAAAATAATGTAGTTTAATCTTATGTATCTTTTATGTCTCTCTTTGCTGAGTTCTTTATAAATTTGATTGTGAAATCATAGAAAGAGGAAGATAGCCAGCTCAAAATAATTAAGAGAGGCGTTGTCGAGCTTCAATTTGATTTCTTCAGAATAGTAGAAAAGGCACTACGGTAGAGTAACAGATTTGGATAAAATTTAGGTCAATTTGATTAAGTTGACCTTGACCTGAAAATTAGAAATGAGAAAATCATATTTTGTTGGTTTGAACTAAATTAACTAGTTAACAAATTTATTTAGAAAAATAAAATAATTTAGCTTATTTAAAATAAATTAATTAAAAAATTAGGGAGATTCAGTTCTTATTCGGCTCTTCGGTTCTAGAACGAGAATCGAACTGAACTCATTGGTTCTCGATTGTGATACTTGTTCGGATAGTTAATTTAAGAAAAACTACTCCGTCCAATTCGGTTTGGTTCGGCTGGCTTAGGTTGAGAGTTTTGTCCAGCCCTAGGGAAATGGGAGGGAAAAGTAGAGATCACAAGTCCATTGATTCCATGAATATTGGATTCAAATCAATATTAGAGATATATCTCTCAATGTAAAATTTTATTTGAATGAAACCAGTAAAACTTTTACTATTAACATGGTCTTATAGGATTAAGGCTTTGCCAGATTGTAAAGGTAATAAAATTTGCACTCTTAGTACCTTTCGTGTTCTAAAAAGCTCGATGCCGCCTAGGCGCGAAACTCTGGGCAAAACACCTCACTTTGCACATAAACCTTTTTTTTCAAATTTCTAAATGGTTGAAATTTTTTCTTGAAACCCAAGGTCAAGTGCCCCAAAAGAGGAGTGAGTTCCCACAGGTCATATCTCTTATGAGGCAAGTCGTTCTAGCAGTATCTCTTATGAGACAAGTCGTTCTAGTGTTTTAGAGCACAAGAAATTGCTGAAGAGCGAATAAGAAGGGGCTTCCAACTGGACTCGATCAAGGTAGCTTGCTTAGTGCTTGTGCTAAGAAGAATCGAATGGTCTTTTTCCACTTGAAAATCCTTCATTTCTTTCATCTTCTGTAGACGCATTTTATTAGTTTTTTTAAAGTCTTTTTTAAAATTTTTTTTTTTTACTTTAGCTTATTATTATTTAAAAAAAAACATTTCATTTGACTTTAATTCCAAGTTTTTAAAAGATTTTGTCAATACAAAAGTCAAAAATGACTTTATCTAAA